AAAGCTGGCTCTCTACCCAGCTGCAATTAGGCATGGTTAATTTGGTCTCTTAGCTGCAGAAGGACCCTGGGGTGCCCCCACCCCCAGTATGTTTTAATTTCCTTGTAGTCAGACAAGAAGCACAGTGGACCTACAGATGGGGAGAGGATGTGAGAGCGAGTGTGTGTGCTTGTGTGCCTGTGTGTGTGTGCGTGCCTGCACAGGAGAACCTGGGCAGACCATAGCTGTCGAATCAAGCAAATTCACGATTCCCTGCAGCATAGTTGCTAGATGTACCAAATATAAATGCTACACATCTAAGTTACATTTCCATTTCTAATGAGCACCAAGTAACTTTTTAGTATATTTCATGAAATATTTGGAACATGCTTACACTAAAATGTTTATTGTTTCTCTGAGATTCAAATAGAACTGAGTGCCCTGTATTTTATCTGGTGGCCCTACCTGGCAGAGGTAGGGATGGAGGCTGCGTCTTCCCCTCCGGCTGCAGAGGAGTATAGTTGCTGATGCCCACAGACACCTGGGGAGGTGCCCTTTTGTCCACAGGGCAGAGCGATGCTTTCCTTCCCTCCAGGAACATGACCTGAGCTCCAGCTAGGATGCAGGTAATACCCCTCAGGTGGACTTGAACTACAGGACTGTACTGCCTTCCAGGCATGGCAAACGAGTTATTCTGCAGGGGTGACCCTTCCAGCGCTGGGATTAAGAGCATGGACTCTGGCGCCAAACCAGACCCCAATTCTGGCTCCATTACTGGACAACTAGGTGACGTTCAACTCTGACCTCTTCCCTAAAATGGGACAGGTGAGTTTTTGAGGAACAAAGGAGATACGGTAGGGAGGGCCCTTCACATAGTGCAGAGCGCCTGCCCCTGCAAGTGGTAGCCATTATGCTGATAACTCGTTTTAAGAGCATTCAAGATTTTTTTTTTTTTAGATGGAGTCTTACTCTGCCACCAGGCTAGAAGGCAGTGGCCTGATCTCGGCTCACTGCAACCCCCGCCTACCGGGTTCAAGTGATTCTCCTGCCTTAGCCACCCAAATAGCTGGAACTATAGGCACACACCACCACATTTTATTATTATTTGGAGACAGAGTCTTGCTCTGTTGCCCAGGCTGGAGTGCAGTGGCACAATCTCGGTTCACTGCAACCTCTGCCTCCTGGGTTCAAGTGATTCTCCCACCTCAGCCTTCTGAGTAGCTGAGATTATAGGCGCCAGCCATCATGCCCAGCTAATTTTTGTATTTTTAGTAGAGACAGGGTTTCACCATGTTGGCCAGGCTGGTCTCCAATGCCTGACCTCAAGTGATCTGCCCTCCTTGGCCTCCCAAAGAGCTTCTCCCTCTCTGTCTGCCCCACCTCAGCCAGTTCTTGTTTTGGGACTTGGAGAACTGTGGTTCCCGTAACTGGGCGGAGGGGTCTCCTGGAGACGGGGCCTAAGTGAGAGAGGCGAGCAGCTCCAGAGCCTGCTGGGTGGGCACGGGGACAGGCATCGCCGCTGCAGACGCGGAGCTGGTTTGCCTCACGCTTTCGGCTCCAGGGGTCGGCGGGCAGGCCCATGGGTGGGGCGAGCTCCTCGTCCAAGGCAGAGGATAACTGGACCGTGAGCCCAAGTCCCTTGACGCTTCGTAATCACGGACCCCCACCGGGCAGGGACCCCAGTACAAGATCGAGTTTCACCTCCTTCCAAACGTCTGTCTCCAAGGAAAGTCCAGAAGGAAATACCTCAAAAGCTTACCGAGGCTTTGCTTTCTCTCTTTCTCCCCTGATTCCTGTATTCTCCAAATTATTTGGACACTGGTCATATATTATATTAACTTCATTTTTCTAAATAAAAAGGCCTCCTATTGTTTTGAGTAGGAAAGCAACATGCGTTTACCGCAAACAAGCAAAAAGATGGAAGAGAAAAAGCGCCTGCCACCCACCCCCTCAACCTTAACAAATAAAACCACCCACTTTCCTTCCAAATCTCTGCATGGACACGTACAGAAAGGCGGTTGCTGTCGTAGCTCTGCCATTCCTTCCCTCCCCACCCTGTGTCACACCCCACTGGACAGCGGACCTCCCTCAGCCGCGCCGCCGGCTCCTGCTTCTTTACGCCCGGTTGCCTGCTACTCGGGTCGTGCCCAGTTTCCTCTCTCCTGGCCCAAACCTCCGGCGCCTACAGCCACCTTCGTGCACTTGTGTGTCTCTGTTGAAGAGATCAGCTAGGAGATGGAACCCCGCAGGACTTCTGTAGTGAGAAACTGTGTGCGCGTGTTCTCGCACATAGGAAGACAGCAATGTGTATCAAAGATCCCCAAAAGGATGAATGCGGGAAGAGGGAAGGAGAAAAGGAAGGGAAGAAAGGTAGAAAGGAGGAAAGAAGAAAGAACAAAGAGAAAAGTAATGAAAAAGAATGACGGGAGAATCGCTTGAGCCCAGGAGTTAGAGATCAGCCTGGACAACACTAGGGAAACCTTTTCTCTACAAAAAATAAAAAAAAAATTAGCCAGGTGTGGTGGCGCCCACCTGTGGTCCCAGCTACTCGGGAGGCGGAGGCAGGAGGATTGCTTGAGCCCAGGAGTTGGAGGCTGCAGTGAGCTCTGATTGTACCACTGCACTCCAGCCTGGGAGAAAGAATGGGACCTTGTCTCAAACAAACAAACAAACAAACAAACAAACAAACAAACAAACAAGCAAACAGAATGACGGAAGGTTAGGAAAGAAGCAGAGCCACGAAGCAGAGGCGCCCAGCGGCGGACCTGCCAGGGGCTGAGGGCCGTGCACCCGAGAGCCCTCCTCGCGCTCTTCCCGCGGCGACGGTGGCGTTGCTCCCACTTACCCGACCTGAGGAGCACGGCCCTGTAGAGCCCGGTGGCATCGGAGGGCCCCCGGGCCCACTCGCCCAGCCTCTGCGCCATGCCCCGCGCGTCCTACTGCGGAGCCAGCACTGCGGGCCGGGAGCGCACGGCAGGAGCGTAGTCCCGAGCCCAAGTGCCTCCGCGACAGTGACGCGGCCCCAAGGCCCAAACCCTGCCGAGGGTCAGGTTACCGCGGGGGGGCGGGGGCGGCTGTTGGGAAGGCAGCGGGAGGGAGAGACACCACTGGGGGGGGGCGAAGGGGAAGGAGGGGGACAGGAACCAGGGCAGGTACCCGCGCCCAGGTAGCAGGTAGGGCGCGGGTGAGCGCCTGCAGTGAGGACTCCTAGCCCCGGGGTTTCAGAGCCAAGGCGAGAACAGCGTCCTGATTTCAGCCTCGGTCTTCCACCTACTCTTCCCCTTTCTTTGGCCGCTGGCCTCGTTGATGCTACCAGCAGGTGTGGGGTTCTGAAGTGCCATACCTGGTATTAGGTCCCACTGCCACCATTTAATAGCTGTGTGACCCCACGATTTTGTTACCTAAACTCGCAGAGACTCAGTTTCCTCATCTGTAAAATGGGGATAACGAGAGTACTTTCTTCTTCATAGGGTTGTGAGGTTAATCAGCTGAGAGAGAGAGAGAGACAGAGAGACAGACAAGAGAGCGAGAGCCAGAGAGAGAGAGAGAGAGAGAGAGAGAGAGAGAGAGAGAGAGAGAATGTAGCTCATAACAGAGGCTGGTGGAGGTGTATGCTGGTACTTTAATATATGTCCCAAGTAGCATGGGGTGCTGGCACTGAGAGGCAGGGTCTTCGCTGGGGGCTAGGGCGGAGGCCTGTGGAACTCCACAAGATTGCTTTCTCTGGCTTTGTGGAGTGTCTGTAACAATCAGAGGTGAGTGAGCCAATCAGGTCTAAAGGTAGGAGGTGCCAACCTCACCCAGGGGTTTTGGGAGATACAAGAAGCTGGCAATTTTGAGGATCTATTCTGTGTCTGGTGATAAGTTTCTTCTAAAACAAAAATTCATGTTAATTGTGTACTTCATGTCCTGTTTCATTTAATCTTCAGAATCATATGAAGCCGGGCCTATTAACATTGCAGATGAGAGAAAACTGAGGCTCAGAAGGGTGAAGCTATTTCTCTGAAGTCACACAGTGTGGGGCTGGGATATATGAATGCAGCTGGTCTGACTTCAGACCTTGGCCATCTGTTTCTCTGCCTCTCTGTTATCTCATTCACTCATCACAACAGCCCTGAAGGGTGGGTATTCCCTCCAGTTTACAGGTGAGCGCGTTGAGACTCAGGGAGGTGAGGTGGCTTGCCCATGTGTGCACAACCAAGACCCAACCCAGTTCTGAGCCCACATAACTTGTGCCCCTGAAATCCAGAGACTCCTGGAGCTGTCCAGGGTACTGGATGGTCTCTGTTCGAGGCTGTGTCTAAAGGGGCCAGGGACTCTTGAACTGGGGATTGGGGTCTCAGCCACACAGTACTACCTCCCTTTTGTCACCTGTTTCCAGTGTTGGTATCAGCCAAGGTCAACTGTTGGCCAAGCTCTCTTTGGTTGGCCCATGGCCACTGCCCAGACCCAGCCTCTGCTCTGACTCAGAGGTCCTATACCTCTCTGCTCCCCAGACACGATCCAGTGTCCCGAAGACCCATCTGCCATACCTCAGACACCAGTCAGGGGCCCAAGGTGACACTTGATCTTTGGGGGCCTCACTGATTGGCCACACTGATCGTGTCTGTCGTCAACAACCAGCATTCAGGAGTGCCAGGCATGATGCCAGCCATTTGGCATTTACTATCTTATATCCTTTCTTCATAAGATGAAATTATATCCAGTTTACAGTTCATCTCATTTAATCCACTTGATAGGTCTTTGATCAAGCTATGGTTATGCTTCTTTTAGAGTTGAGGAAATAAGGCCTTATAAGAGGCTTAAGATCACATAATGCTCAAGATCACATAATGAGTTAGTAGTAGAGCCAGAATTTCAACCCAGATAGTGTCAGAACTTTTGCTGCAAGGGGGAAACTAAAGCAACTGTCGAGCAAAGTGGGATTCTGGGAAACTGCGGCTACGGGATGTGCTTTTGTGAAGCATGCTGAAGGGATGGACTCTGGCCACACCTAGGAATTCTAGGCGGGTCTGACTTACCTGAGCCATTTAGTCTCTGCTTCTCATTTTCACTATGAAATCTGGCCTGAGGAGAGTATGTTTTCTGTAAACAGAAAGAAAGTAGGTGGAGGTGAGGACCCTGGGTTCTTTGGCAGGGGGAGGGGTGATGAGATATTCACAATGTCTCTGAGTCTTTTGGGCACCGAAGGGACTGGCCAGGGCAAAGTCCTCTCCAGAGAAAAAAATTACTATAGTCTTTGGAATGCATGTATATGTGTGTGCCCATGTGCACGCTTATGAGACTCTTGCTCTTTTTTTAAAATAAATAAACTTTATTATTTTTGAAAAACAGTTTTAGATTTAGGGAAAAATTAGGAAGATAGTACAGAGAGTTCTCTTATACCCCACACCCAGTTTCCCTGTTATTAACACCTTATATGTATGCAGCTATACATGTTAGTTGTATGGTGAATTTGTTATAATTAATAGACCATATATTGATGCATTATTGCTAATTAAAGTCCATATTTTATTTAGATTTTCTGAGGTTTTACCTAATATCCCTTTTCTGTTCCAAGATACTTTCAGAATACCACATGACATTCAGTCTTCAAGCCCCTCTGGCTGCCTTGGCTGTGACAGTTTCTCAGGCTTTCTTTGTTTTGGATGACTTGCACAGTTTCAAAGAGCCCCGAGACCCATGTTCTTTTAGGTGGAGCTCATGCCCAGGCCATTCCCTCAGCCTGGACTGCCTTCTCCCTACCTTCCTGGCAAAGTCCTCATTCTTCAAGGGCCAAGTCAGAACCTTCAGGGCTTGGTCCTCAGGGACAGTTCTTGGACATCTTCTCTTCTCTCTCTACATTCTCAGGGCTTTAAAGAGAACTCTAAGCCAACATTCCCCTAATGTATTATATATTTCCAATTTAGACCATGTTTCTGAGCTTCAACCTTGTCCAATCAGCTACTTGACATTTCCACTTGAAAGTCCAATAGGCACCTGAAACTCACCATGGCCCAAACAGAAATCTTGACACCCCAAGCCTCCACCCTGTGCCTCTCCTGTCTCCCCCACCTCAGCACATGGCTCTGTTCTGACCCTATTGCTCAGGCCAGGAGCCTGGGAGTCTTCCTTGCCCTGTCTCCCTGCAACTCCACAGTCGTCTCATCTCCCAGGCCTGGTGAGTCCACCTCTAGTGAATTTCTGGAGTCTATCCACTTCTTCCAGGCCTCCATGCTGCCACCCCAGCCTGGAAACCACTGAATGCCTGGGCACTGACAGTAACTTGCTCTCTGTATTAAGTTGGTTTTCACACTGCTATAAAGATACTACCTGACACTGGGTAACTCATAAACAAAAGAGGTTTAATTGACTCACAGTTCCACATGGCTGGAGAGGCTCTAGGAAACTTACAATAAAGCAAAAGGTGAAGGGGAAGCAAGGCACATTTTACATGGCACAGGAGAGAGAGAGCGTGTGCTCAAGGAAGTGCCACACTTTAAAGCCATCAGCTCTTGTGAGAACTCACCCGCTGTCGTGAGAACTCACTCACTGTCGTGAGAACAGCAGGGGGGAAACTGCCCCCATGATCCAATCACCTCCCACGAGGTTCTTCCCTCAACATGTGGGGATTACAGTTTGAGATGAGATTTGAATGGGGACCCAGAGCCAAAGTGTGTCACTCCCCTTCAAGTTGTTCTCCACAGACTCCAGAGTGAGCTTTTAAAGCGTAACTCAGACCTGGATTCTGCCTTCCCTGGAACTCTTCTGTGTCTTCCCTTTGCACTGGGACTCAAACCCACATGTCTCCCCGAGGCTTACAAGGAGGCCTCTGCAACCTGGCCCCTCCCTGCCAGCCTCTCAAATTCCATCTGTTTGTTCCTTCAACTGTTCAAGGGCTTGGATGCCTCAGTGAACACAACAAAGGTCCCTGTCCTTGGGGCATTTCTGTTCACATTCTAGTGTGGGAGGTAGACAATAAGCATAATGAATAAGTAAGGTAGACAGTGAGGTAGGAGACCAGAGAGACTAGGGGAAAAAGGAAGAATAGAGAAGGGAAAGGGGGAGGCTGGTGGCAAGTGGGGACCACATGTGGTCATCAATAGATGCTCAGATGGGTCTCCATAGGAAGATGAGATGTGTGCACAGACTTGAAGGAAGCCGGGAGTTAGCCAAGAGGACACCCTGGCGCAGGGTCAGTGGTTAGTGCAAAGGTTCTGAGCTGGGGTGTACCCAGTGTGTTCAGTAGCAGCAAGGAGGTCAGGGTGGCCGAAGTGGAGGGAACACAAGGGCAGTCACATGAGGAAAATTTCAGGACATAGAAAATCTTTCGTATTTTTAGTAGAGACAGGGTTTCATCATGTAGGTCAGGCTGTCTCGAACTCCTGACCTCATGATCCACCTGCCTTGGCCTCCCAAAGTGCTGGGATTACAGGCATGAGCCACTGTGCCTGGCTGGGTCTGGCTTCTTTTATTCAGCTGTGTGTTTAAGATTCATCAGTGTGGTTGCTTGTGTCAAGAGTTCATTCCTCTTGATTTCTGAATTAAATATTCCATTTGGAGGCTCTGTCGTAGTTTGGTGGTACATTCTCCTGTGAATGGACATTTGGGGGTTTTCCAGTTTTTGGCTATCACTCATAAAGCTGCTATGAACATTTTTCCATGAATTTTTGGGTCAGAGTGGGTGCTCATTTCTACTGGGCAGATATCCAGCAGTGGACTTGCGGAGGCATAGGGAGGTGAATGTTTAGCTAAAGTGGATACTGCCAACAATTTGTGTCACTTTGCATTGTACTTTTGACATCTTTACAACATAGATTTTTGGGGACACATTGAGATCATTTCCATACACAATGCTTTGGATTGGCAGGGAGGAGGGAGGTGTTAGCAAAATTGCATCGTAGATAAACACAGATGGGGCCAAATTCTGAACTTGGAAGAGATGAGTGTTGGACCTCAGGGTATTTGTCCTTGAAATCTGGAGTGAATTAGTTGGAGGTATGTCTCTAGGTGCCTTTATTTACATCTTCTTTAGACTGTAAACACAATGAGCATAGAAATTATAATTTACCCAGGGATGTGCTGCAATGCCTAGCACAGTTCTTGGCACATAGGTGCTTCGGAAATAAAAATTAATAAATTATTAATAATTGTAATGGGAATGATCCAAGATGGCCGATCGATAACAGCTCGGGATTGCAGCTCTCAGTCAAAGCGCAGAGAACTAGAGGACGCCACACTTTCAGACAAATTCTGGTCGCTCACGGAGCAGAAGATCCCCAGTGGAGGAACTACACGGATCGCCAGTGCCACTCTTGTGGCCAGCGCAGTGGTTTCGCCGGCATCTCGGCACAGCAGCTCTCGGAGCAGAGTAAACAGGGCCAGCTCCCCTTCTGACCGAGGTTTGGAGGACCCACACGGGTCCCCAGCACAACTCCTGAGGCCGGCGCAGTGGCTGTGATGGTATCTCAGCGCGGCAGCTCTCGGCGCAGAGTAAACGAGACTGGTTCCCCTTCTGACGGAGGTTTGGAGCCTGGGGAAGGCAGAGTCGCCCATTATGGACACAAGAAGGAAGCCAGACAGGAGAATCCTGGGCAGAAAAGCACCATCAGTCTTAACGCCGCCGTTCTGGCCCTGAGAACTAACAACTTGGACGTCAATCAAGAGACCTAATCTGAAAGTTGGTAATTTCAAAGACGACAGGAGGATAAATTTACAATGATGGGAAGAAACCAGCGTAAAAAGGCTGAGGATACTTAAAATCAGAACTCCTCTCCCTCTAAAGATGATCTCAGTTCCACATCAACAATGGAACAAGGCTTGATGGAGAATGAGCGCATCCCAATGACAGAATCACTCTTCAAGGAATGGATAATAAGAAACTTCTGTGAGTTAAAAGAACATGTTGTAGCCCAACATAAAGAAACTAGGAACTTTGAAAAAAGGTTTGACGAAATCCTATTGAGAATAGACAACTTAGAGAGGAATATAAGTGAATTAATGGAACTGAAGAATACAATACAGGAACTCCGAGAAGTATGCACAGGTTTAAACACTCGAATTGTTCAAGCAGAAGAAAAAATAACAGAGGTAGTCCAACTTAATGAAAGAAAACAAGAAGACAAGATTAGAGATAAAAGGATAAAAAGGAATGAGCAAAATCTCCAAGAAATGTGGGACTATGTGAAAAGACCAAATTTACGTTTGATAGGTCTACCTGAATGCGACGGAGAGAATGAATCCAAGCTGGAAAATACCCTTCAGGATATTATTCAGGAAAATTTTCCTGAACTAGCAAAGCAGGTCAACATTCAACCCCAGGTAATACAGAGAACACCACAAAGATATTCCTCAAGAAGAGCAACCCCAAGGCACATAATCGTTAGATTCACCAGGGTTGAAACCAAGGAGAAAATACTAAGGGCAGCCAGAGAGAAAGGTCAGGTTACCCACAAAGGCAAGCCCATCAGACTTACAGCAGATCTCTCAGCAGAAACTCTACAAGCCAGAAGAGAGTGGGGGCCAATATTCAACATCCTCAAAGAACAGAATCTTCAGCCCAGAATTTCATATCCAGCCAAACTAAGCTTCACAACTGAAGGAAAAATAAAATCTTTTATGAACAAGCAAGTACTCAGAGATTTTATTACCACCAGGCCTGCTTTACAAGAGCTTCTGAAAGAGGCATTACACACAGAAAGAAACAACCAGTATTAGCCTTACTAAAAATATACCAAAAAGTAAAGAGCACCAACATAAAGAAGAATTTACATCAACGAATGGATAAAACAGCCAGTTAACATCAAATGGCAGTAACCCTAAATTTAAATAGACTAAATCCCCCAATCAAAAGATACAGCCAAAACCCAACGGCATGTTACATCCAGACCCATTTCACATGCAAGGATACACAAAGACTCAAAACAAAGGGATGGAGAAAGATTTACCAACCAAATGGAGAGCAAAAAATAAATAAATAAATAAATAAAAAGCAGGAGTTGCAATTCTCGTAGCGGATAAAATAGATTTTAAAGCAACAAAGATATAGTGGTAAAAGGATCAATACAACAACAAGAGCTAACAATTCTAACACCCAGATACATAGA